TATCTCCGGATTTGCCCAGGGATCTCCGGATTTTAAGTCAAAAAACAACGCTCTGGGGGATTTCAGAAAAAAACATGAAATCTCCTCTTTTTGGAGGTTTTTATTTAATTTTTATAAAAATTCGATATTTAATACTTAAATTTTAATACTTAAATGTATAGAACTGAAAATGTAAAAACTATTAAATGTAAAATGTTTTTAGTCACTAACAATTTATACCTGTTTTGATCTTTCATTTAAAACAGGTATTGTTCTTGACAAACTGAAAATTGCCCGCATAACGCCAATTTTAAATCTGGAGATAAGTCAAATATTTTAAACTACAGGCCTATATCCATGTTACCTTGCTTTTCAAAATTGCTAGAGAGAATAATGTATCATAGACTATATAATTATCTAACTGAGAACAACATGTTGTATTGCAAGCAATTTGGTTTTGAAAAAAAAATTCCACTGAACATGCAATAGTTGAACTTTCTAACCAAATATCTAACGCCTTTGATAATGACTGTTATACATTAGGAGTTTTCAATGATCTGTCAAAAGCTTTTGATACCGTAAATCACAATATTCTAATAAAAAAACTTGAAAACTACGGAGTGAAAAATAAAAACTTACTTTGGTTCAAAGGGTATCTGACAAACCGAAAGCAATTTTTATATTATGATCAAAATAACACAACTCCATATTCCATAACTTGCGGGGTTCCTCAGGGCTCAATTTTAGGACCACTCTTATTTCTATTGTACATAAATGACTTATATCTAGCAACAAATCTTTTAGACCTAATTTTGTTTTGCTGATGATTCCAATCTTTTTTATTCTCACAGAGATACTAAAACACTTTTTAAAATAGTTAATGAACAGTTATGTAAAGTTAATGAATAGTTCTTAACAAAAAGTAACAAACTTTCATTAAATGTGGATAAAACAAAATATATACTTTATTATAAAGTAAATAAATCAGAAAATATTCCTCTAAAATTACCAAATCTTATAATTAATAATACTTATATTAAAAGGCAAACAAACGTAAACTTTTTAGGAGTAAAACTGGATGAAAATTTACTGTGGTATTCACATATAAATAGTATTGAAACAACACTCTCAAAAAATATCGCAATGATGTTTAAGGCTAAACCTTTTTTAAATGTAGCATCCCTGAAAAAAATTATATTTTGCCTCTATTCACAGTTACTTGTCTTACTGTAATATTGTGTGGGCTTGTACTGGCTATACAAAACTTAGGAAAATCTACAACAAACAAAAACATGCATGCAGAATAGTGTTTGGAGCCTACAGAAATACTCTTTGCAAACCACTTTTACGTACACTCGGTGCTTTAAATTAAATTTAAACTCAATTTACACCAAGATTATTCTTTATGTTTAAAACAAAAATGGGATTGTCCCCAATAATTTTTCAAACCTATTTTAATAAAATTAATCATAAATATTCACAGACGCGGATGCAGCATTTTTTGATGTTTCAGATACCTAACTTTCAAACATGGAACAAAACCCAAAAATTTATATGTTTATACTTATATCAAATAAAGATGCTTTGCAAAAAATTGCAATGATTGGAGTCTGGGAACAAAAAAGCCCTAAAATTTTAGCTACACCTGCCCCAAACGTGAGAGCAACTAGTTGATAAAATAATTTTCATACTATTCTCAACCAAGTATATATTCATCGATAAATTTTAAAACTCACGCACAAGTCTATTAGCGTTCAATAATGGCTTTATAAACTTTGCTACCCCCTCAAACAAATTGGCTGGTAGTATTCTTTGTAAATATATGTTTATAAAACAAGAAACTATTCTGGTATAAAACATGATGATAATGATTTTTTTTTCTAGGTGAATGGCTTTTGAACTTTAATCAATTTCCTGTCACTGTTACATATGGTGTTCCCATCACAAAGCCCGATGTTACCATTACAATTAATGATGACGACTTTGTTCTCATAGCCACTGGGAAACTAAATCCAATGCAAGCGTTTTCACAAGGCTCAAACTTTTTGAACGCTAAAAGATTTTTGTGTGAATTTTAAAATTTGTTGATGAATATAGATTTAGTTAAGAACAGTATAAAAATTATTTTATTAACTTGTTGCTCTCACGCTTGGGGCAGGTGTAGCTAAAATTTAAGGGCTTTTTTGTTCCCAGGCTTCAATCATTACAACTTTTTACAAAGCATCCTTATTTGATATAAGTATAAACATATAAGTTTTTGGAGGTTGCTCCATGTTTGGAAGTTAGGTATCTTAAACATCAGAAAATGCTGCATCCGCGCCTGATTCAACAACGTTTTCTGATAACTTTGTTCTTCTCAAGTATAATTTAAAATTAACCTCCTATTCAATTAAATATCGCGGACCTTATCTGCGAAAAAAATTCCCAGATATTGTCAACAAAAACAAGACTACATTAGAGCAATTTAAAAATGAATCAAAACAATTATTACTATTCAGGGATCTTAATTTATCTGACTTCAAATGTTTATTTTAAAGTTTAATCAAATAAAAACAAATTTATTTATATCAATGAAATTTAAGTAATGATGTTAAAAATTCATCTTGTGATAATGTTAACTATGATTTTTTTTTTTTTCAATTAAAACTTTTTGTTTAAATGATTTTTAAATATTTTAGCGGTTGTTAGCATTTCAACAATTCTCAATTATTTGCTATTTTAAATTTCTTAATTTTCTCAGTTATTTTCTGTTTTAATTCTGATCTATATATTTGTATGTCACGGTTATGTAGAGTTTTTTTTTATGTAGATTTTTTTTTTATATGTGGGGCTCGGCGATAAGGCAAACTGTGCCTTCTTCTTGCTCCTGCCATTAATTTTGATATATGTATATGCAATGTAAACATTCTTTAACGGCGAAATAAATTACACCAAAAAAAAAAAAATTTATTGAAAATGCTCACACAGCACTGTTTTCTTCTCTTGATTACACAATATTGAAAAATGCACGCGCATCTAAACTTGCGAAAACGAAAGTCGTGACCGATAAATTACGTTAAGGTAATAAAGTATTTTGGTTGCTGCAACACAAGAGATAGTTCCTTTAATTTAAAGTTTTAAAGTAAAAGAATTGCTGCACTCTCAATAATTTTGTCTAAATAAAATATTTTCTAGTTTAAGAAAGAGAGGAATAAGTGTGAAGCCAAATTCAAAATTTGCCCAGCTGGATCATTTATTTATGTTTCTCCCAAAGATAAACAAATTACCTTATGTTAATTTTATTTATATAATTCATCTTATAATCATAGTTAAGCCAAGATTATGTAAGTTATGTAACCGTTGACCTTTTATTAGTCTCAATAACAAAAGTTAAAAGCTTTAAGTTGGATGAAACTTGACAGTATCCCTATTTGGGATCAAGTTGAAGACTTATGTTAATAAATCATTGAGCCATGACCAATTTTTAAACTTATATGTTCAATAAGTTTTTGTTATCAAACAAAGACTTATTGAAAACGATAAGTTCAACAAAAAAGTATAGTTGGTATGACTCATCTTCCCCCGTCCATAGTTCTTGCTCTGTTCCAACAAATGATTGGTCGATAACTGTGAAATTGATAACTGATTCAAGTGATTAGTTAGATACAAATGAAAAATGGTTACAAGATGACAATAGAGACAAGTTAAGTAATGGAGGAATAATTATTGGCTTGCATTTATATAGTATAGTACATTTTAATATAGAATAAGTAATAAGACTTAATTCATCAAGAATCTATGATTGTAAGACAGCAATTGAATGTGAACATTTTGTAATTAAAATTAGTTTAATTTCAATTGCAAAACCAGCAATTTGTGTTAAAAAAACAATTGACATTTAAAAAAAGGGGTTATTATTTATTCAATTCTCATAAAAGGGGTCCACTCTGGTAATGCCTAGCTAGATAATAAGAATTCTCATTCATTTAGCACGTATTGTAAAATCAGGGGCGGGTTATGTCACATTTAAAAAGTACTTGTATTGTTTCAATAAATAAACAACTAAACTGTTATCAAATTTTAAGCTTTTAAAAATGTGATTGATTTTAGTTATTGCAGAGCGTTAAAGCTGATTTAAATTTATATATTTGATTGACTTCAGGAAAATTGTATTTTTATTTAGATAAAATGCTTAATAAAGAAGTTTATAATTTGTATTTAAGATTGAAAGATACCTCTTACAGTGCAGTATATTGTATGTTTTGTGTAAATTTTAATGTTCAACTTCTTTGCTGTGAAAAATCATTAGCCATTAAGATAACTCGACTAGTTGATAACATAAGAAAATTAAAAAGCAACGAAAAAATAGTAAGTTGGCATTGTTATTAGTTGAAGCCTTTATTCCACCTGTGACAAGTTTTTCTAATAATATATCAATTAGATCTGAAATTCTTAAAGAAACAATCCTAATTAGTGAAAACAAAAAAGGAAAATTAAATCAATGATGGATTTAAAATTGAATTACTTATTAATTAATATATCTACAAATGCTTGTTTCAAAAAACTCTTTAATCGAAAGTGAACTTAATCTTATTAAAAAACTTTATTATGAAAAAGAAGAAAAACTTAACATTATTGAGAACAATTTAGAGTCAATTAAGTCAAAGAAAAAATCATTTAATGTGAGAAATTTCCCACTTCCCAACACTTCATATAAGCTCTGCGATCAGATAAGTAAGCAAAAACAAGAAAATAATAAAAAGATGACAATTTTTAAAAGATTCTTACCTTTTTTTATATTTTTTATAAATTTAAGCCTTAAGAGGTTTAAAAAATTAAAAAAAAAAAAGAAAAAGATGTTTATTTATATTTCTTATACGCACAAAAAAATAAATAAATAAAAATAAATTAAAACTGAATTAAAAAAATATTGCAATTAGTTTTCTTTTCGTTTTTTTTCTTTGAACTAAGAGTTCAGTTTGCATTAACTAATCAAAATAAAAAAATTTCATTCTTGGAACTGAAAAAGAATTAAGCTAATATTTCTAATCCAATCCTAGATTTAAATATCTTATAATCCGTTAAACATTCTATAAAATGTTTTTAACATTGAAATTAGGACACTGAAACTGATATACACATTCGTATAAAAGGACATTTAAGTAATTTTCTTAGAGTTTTGATGAAACAGATTTAAATATATCGCCTAACTTCAAAGCTAAAATTACTTTTCCAAAGGCTTTGAGTTTTCCTTGTGAAAACGCTTGCATTGGATTTAGTTTCCCAGTGGCTATGAGAACAAAGTCGTCATCATTAATTGTAATGGTAACATCGGGCTTTGTGATGGGAACACCATATGTAACAGTGACAGGAAATTGATTAAAGTTCAAAAGCCATTCACCTAGAAAAAAAAATCATTATCATCATGTTTTATACCAGAATAGTTTCTTGTTTTATAAACATATATTTACAAAGAATACTACCAGCCAATTTGTTTTCTTTTGTGATTTGAAATAAAAACGATCCATTAATTTGTTTTAAAACAGCCTCGTCTGCAGTTTTTAAGCTGTCTTCAATCTTTTTCATAGCGTGTGAAGACTGAAGTGAACTATCTATCCCATAACTATGTGCACTTGCTGAAACGCTACTCTGGCTCAATAATTAAATTACGACATAACAAAAAAAAAAAAAAAAAAATTGTAATTTAATTTTAAAAACATACTTAAAAATTATATTCAAAAAACTAATTTTTAAAACAATTTTAAATTATAAGGAGTAATTTCTAAGTAAACATTGCTGATATCTTGAGTAAGTACCTGATATTTAAACTAAGTACCTTGAGTTCCTTATGAAAGTCAACATATCCGCCTTTAATAACAACATCACCAGTTTCTTTCACTTTTACTTGGTAATAAACACGATTTGCCTCGTGCCACATTTCTGTCATAATAGTTTGACCAGGTATAACAGGTTTTGAAAATTGAGCTTTGATTGACTTGAAAAAAGAAGCATCATTATTAGCATAAGCTTTCAAAACATGGCGTAAAGCGTAACCGTAGGTGCATAGACCGTGAAGCAATGGCTTTTCAAAACCTTTTTTTTAAAAACAAAATGTTTTGAAAAAAACTAAACTATGAAAATATTAATTTTATTGTAAATCAATTGTTTAAAATGACGAAAAAAATATCAAACACTGAAATTTAAAACACTATTGTCTTGCTTACCTAACATTGACGATATTTGTGGATCGATATGAAGTGGATTAAAATCACCATTCAGACGATAAAGTGCAGCTTGATTAATACTTGTTACTTCTTCAACAACGTGGTCAGGTTTACGTTTTGGTGGAAATAGTGTAGGTTTCTAAATAAAATATTTTTATATAAATATATGAATTCTTTTGCGGCAGCAGGCTATAAGATGAAATTTTAATAGTTTTTTTTCTTCCTAAATGATAGATTGCTTGCCCAAACTAAACCCTCAGTTAATGTAGCGATACTTCCTTGCAGCAGCAGGCTATAAGATAGTCGATGTAGCAGCATTTCCTTGTAGCAGCCGTCTATAAGATAGTTAATTTAGCAACACTCACTTGTAGCAGCAGGCTATAAGATATGTTATCCATCAACACTAAGATCTGAAGAAGGAATAGATAAATTTAAACTAGTCTTAATAAGAGCCAGCAAGTCTAGTGAATTTTGCAAGAGGTAAGATTCAACTGATGGAAGGTTGCTTTGCAGATATTAATATTTGAAAAAGATATATTAAAACGGTTAGGTGGTGGGGATGTCTTTTTATCTTTAATATTTTTGGTTATTATTGGCATGGTATAAGTTTAAATAGAACAGAGACCTAAATTTTCCCAACATCAAATAAGCATTCTTTCAGTCAACTCAAGTTAGTAAAATCAAATTTTTTTTTTAACTAACACATAATTACTTACAAGAATAAGTTTTGTAGCATTTTGTGAAAATACATTTGTATATTATAATTTTTTTTATAATTTTTTTTTATATATTTGTGTTGTAAAGGCAATTCCACGGCCAAAAATGAATTCAAAAAGTCAAATTTTAATCTCTTTTTAGTCAGTTTTTAACAAATGAATAGTCAGTTTTTAACAAATGAATAGTCAGTTTTTAACAAATAGTTTTTAACAAATGAATTTTTAGTCAGTTTTTAACAAATGAAGTAGACACATGAAAGTTTATTTAAAATATTTCCTTATAAAAATAAATTTATTTCAGTCATTTTTATGGTTTCGACGGTTATTCTCATTTTCGCTTGTCAAAAAAATAATTATTGTAAAATGTTTTAGTTAAATTAACATTTATGTTAATTTTGCTTTATTTTTTTGGTTCAAATTGATAAGGTTAAATAGACCTTATAAATAAATTGATAAGGTTAAATATACATTTTATTAGAAATTAAATTAAGACAGGGCTCGAATTAACACAAAAAAATCTAATCGCGAAAAAATATTTTTTGCTCCTCCCGCCCTCTTTTATAGCTCGCGCCGATGTGCGGTAATGGGGGGAGGGACTTGCGTTAGTATAAAATTGTCTCTTAAGCAAGTAATTATTATCTTTTAACATACTATCTCTCATTTTTAAATGTTATCTTATTATTTTCTTGTTTGGCGGAGTTTAAAATAGCGTAAGTTACTGTTATAATTTACAGCTTAATTTATAATTTAAAGTTTAAGTTGCAGTTTCAGTGTAATGAGCAAGTAACGTATTTTATACTATTAATTAATTGTTTTTACTTAACATAATACTTAAAAAAAAAAAAGTAAAAAAATAAGAGTAAAAAGCAAACATTACTATATTTCAGTGACGGATCCAGGGGGAGGATGAAAGTATGCATCCCCCCCCCCCACTAGAATCTGAAAGACTTGAAAATATCATAGAAATTAAGGACCTTGTTTTTTGCTTTTTTTTAAGGAGACGCAAACATGGTACAAAATTTAAAATATCACAACATCCTCCACCAAAATTTCCTGGATCCGTCACTGCAATATTTAAACCACTTTAATTAGTCATAGAAAACTGTTTAATACGATCACGCTGACGATAAAACACGTGTTTTTAATGAGTATTTAATTGTTATTGTAAAAAGCTGTAAAACAACAATAAAACAAAAAGTTGTCTTTAAAATATAAATAGCTTGTGTTAATGTAAAACAACTTCGTGACGCTGTTTTGTTGCTGTTTTATACAGTTTAATAACATAAAATGCGTTTAAAATAAAACGAAGCAAATAGCAAATAAAAGAAATTGTTTTAATTAATAAATTAAAAAAATATCGGCAATAAATCAAAAAACATCGTCAAAACTTAATAAAAAATTAGATACGACGTTTTTTATAATTTATTGTTTCTTGAATAAAGGACTAATAAAAGTTTAAATATAATTAAGTTTTACATTTAAATGGTTTTTAAGTGGATTTTTTTATTCAATTTCTCTATTTCAATTGTTTTCCAATAAAAAATGAAACCAAAAAATTTGGTTTAATAAATCGAATTATACTTCATGTTTAAAATAAGGCTGAAAAACATTAAAGTAAAAAAATTGCTGGTTTTTATTAGCATTTTTATACTGTTTGAAGGAAAAAACTAATAAAAAAGAATTAACTAATAATATGTTAGTAAAATCACATCTAAGAACAAAATCTGAAAACAAAAAGTTGGGAATCTATGTTAAAGGGATCCCTAAGTGCTCCAAACATATGATCTCATATGAAAGAGCATAAAAAAATAAATAAATAAACAGATAAAAAATTTAGAGCTAAACAAATGACTACTATTACTATTATTGACTATTATATATTATCATTGACTAATATCTATTATCATTGACTATTATCTATTATCATTGAGTATTATCTACAGTAGTGACTATTATCTAGAGTAGAGTTGTTTATATTTAAAATATTAGATTATATTTAAAAATAACCACAAATGTAATCTGTTGGCTTACATTGATGTGAAAGAAGGAGAAAAATAAAGACACAAACGCAAGATTTCCCAAAAGAGGATGAACATGGAATTTACGATGATAATTTTAGTTTTAAATCAGTAAACAATGAGATTAATGTTAACTACCCTGAAGTTTTGATGAAGGCACAATAAGTAGTGAAATTTATTAAAATGTCATTAGTTCTTCAGAAGAAAGTTACTAAAGAATTTGGTAAAGAAATCGAACTGCATCTGGACGTTTGTCATCGTTGCAATTCGGGTTGTTTTTTTTTAAATAAAATTGATAGCACAGTTTTTTATAAATGCAATTTTTTGGAAATCCTAGATCAGGGCGTTATACACTCTTCCAAAGTTTATTACAGATCTTTGGCATTACAAAGAGTGGTTATAGCTATCAATAAAAGAAAATATCTTCCAATTTTTTCGATTTTAGATACAATGAAAGAGCTTGATCTTGCATAACAAAAAGTGAAAACATCCACCATCATTTATTGTTTTGCAAAATCAGGAATTTCGAAAGATCGGCAGAAATATATCTACTTGGATGAAGGTAATGACCCATTTAAAGAGCTTCAAAATTAGATAGAAAAACTTGATAATTTTTACCCTCTAGGTACAATAGCTGAAGATATCATTTCTGCAAATAAAAACATAATGAGCACAGTAACTTTACTAACAGATGAACAGTTGATAAAAGAAGTAAAAAATGAAGCAAACGAATATGATGCTGATAACAAGAAAGATGATGATAATGGGAAAATGATGATGATAATGGGATTGATCCAGTTTGCCCAAAAGTTACTAATATTCAGTAAGCACTGCAAGTTTTATATGACGATATGCCCTTTAGTCTTAGTGGTAAAGATTTTCAACAAAAGCTCAATGCAATCTGAATTATATTCAAAGAAATTTTTTTTTTTCAAAACTAATCAATTTGAACATTGTTCATTTATACTATATTGTTTTTACTTTTGATATCAAAATTTTTGATATCTCGAACTGTTTTAACTTATCAGCAAAAGTTCATGTTATAGAATGTCCAGCTATCTTGAATATTTTCTAACTCTAACTATTTCTAACTATATTCTAACTCTAACAGTCCCTTTGAGGTTCGAGATACTGGGAGCTCACTGTATTTAGGCATTATCGGAAGAAATGTAATTTAAACTATTTGAAATTGTGTAAAATAATTCAAGAAAACAGTTTTTTTTTCTTGAATTATTTTACACAATTTAAACAAAGCTTATGAACAAAGCTTATGAACTTGAGATTTTAAACAAATAATAACTTATGAATTGTTATAAATAGTGTCAAGCAAATCTTTTACTAAAGAGTTACAATGTTGTGACTAGGGAGGTAGAGAGTCAAACACTGTCAAAAATTGTGTAATGTAACTAAAACTGACCCCTAATCAAGAGATCATACTGGTAAGCTAATAAGCTGTCATTTTATTTTCTCCACTGCTATCATAACAAAATTTGATTTCAATAACAAAATTTGGTTATTCTGATGTGATATAAACATTTCAAGCCTAAAAATCTAGGACACTTTTGGTAGACTCTATAAAGGTAGAGTACACTCCATATCCAATGTGTTTTTAGCTTCCTTTGTGTGAAGCATCTACTGAATTGAACTTATTATCTTAATTTGTCTTCATTAAATACAAAACCATTGGTTGTGCTGAATGTATTTAAAACATATATCTTCTAGAAAGATGTAATTTTGTTTATAAGTACAGTATTATCTGAATCAATTAAAATTCAGATAATACTGTACTTATAAACAAAAGTATTCATCACTTTATACATTTGAATTTTATGTTTTATGTTTTTCGAACATTATAAATGCTTCTTGATCAATCTTGATACATTTTGAAACTGAAAAATTTGAAACATTTTGATTTCTTTAGATTCCAGAACTGCTTTGTAATTGTAATGTAATTGTTGGAACTTAGAATATTCATTAAGATCTATAATACCCTTTAATCTTCTAAACACCGTGAAAAATGTTGGTACTGAATTAAGCTTTTTAAAACCATTTTGAAAAGTTTTTGTTCTGAGAACCATTTTGAAGAGAGAAATGTTCAGAAATAAAGTAAAACATTTTTTTGCTGAAAAGTTTTCTTAAGCATGTTTATTGTTCAATGTTAATTTTTGTTCTGAAATGTAAATGAACTGTTTACCAAACATATTGTTTATCAATATACATAATCACAACATTATTAAAACATTTGTTGTTAAGTTTTATTACAATTTATCTAATTTTAGAATTATAAACATCACCTTGGTGTTCAACTTTTAACTGTTGAACATCAAACAGATGTTTATGTTGACATCCATCAGCTTCTACATATAACAGAAGTTAAATTAACTGTTTTTTAAGAGAACATGTAAAAAATTTATTTTTTATGAGGTTCATTGAATTATGAAAGTATTATGCACCCAGATCTTGCTATTTCATTGTGGCCTTAAACATAGGCAGGAGGTATCTAAAAGTTTTTAAATAGAAAAATATTTAGGAAATGTTTGAGTAGAGTGGTATAAAAATAAAGAATTCAATTTTTATAATTTTTATTTTTAAAAAATAAACATACCTGTCCATCATATTTTCCTCTGTGACCTATTCCTTTGCTGCCAATAAACAACAAGACAAATTGTGACATACAAACTAATTCATTTTTGGCATCAAATACATTAACATCTATAATAAACTGACAAAACTTATGTTTATCAAGAATATCCCTAATTTGTCCTTTCACTGTAAACTGACCAGATGTCGGGATTGGCTTAAATATCTCTATAAATTGTTCACCATGTAAAACCTAAACATAATATAATTAATTTTTTTCAAAGTCTTAAAGCAATATTAAAATCATGAAGAAAAAAAACCTAATCTTTTTTTAATCTTAAACTTTTTAATTTATTGTTTTTATTTTTCAATTATATTAAGTTTTCAATGTTTATTTAATAAAAAAAATATTTAATTAAAAACTATTTTAATTTAATTAAAATATAAATATTTAATTGAAAAAATTTTTTTTTTAACTATTTAAAACTATTTTTATAATAGATTTATTATTCTCAAATCAAAATACAATCACAAAAATTGAAAAAAAAAAAAAAATTATATAAATATTTAGATACAATAAAAATATAAAATAATATGATGAAAAAAAATTCTAAAAAACTAAAAAATTTTTTTAAGATTAATAATTAAAAAATTTTAAAACCTTGGATAGATCAATCATGTCCATTCCTGGAATATTTCCCTCAGCTAGTTCACTAAAAACAGCTTTCTATAAAAAATATATATTCAATATATATATATTAAATATATATATATATATATATATATTTTTTTTTTTTTTTTTTTTTTTTTTTAACATCTTCACTTCCAACAAGGCTGCAAGCAACCACTATAAGAGTTGGAAGTTACTGGAAGAGAAAAGACTAAATCTGTAGAGCAAGATAACGATTGACTGATGACTTAAAAGATTGCAAATTATATGAATCAGGAAAGCAAGATGAAGGAAGCGAATTCCAAAGAACTGATGTTCGAGGAAAAAAACTAGAAGAATAAGAGTTTTTGAAGCACTTAGGAACAGTCACAGAAAAAGGATGAGACTTAATTGAATGGCGGGTAACACGAGAATGAATTTTAGTAGATGGCACAAGGGACGCTAGCTCTTTAGAGCAGTGCCCATTATAGTATTTGTAGAAAAGAGAAAGAGAAGCAACATTACGACGATGTGACAAAGGTTGGAGATTGGCTGCCAGAGCAGGTCCAACTATGTTTACAATTCGTTTTTGCACCTTGTCTAAAAGAGAAAGAGCATCATTAGAAGATCCGCCCCAGATGTGGCAACAGTATTCCATACAGGGACGGATTTGAGATTTATAGAGATAGAGAATAGAATCTGGAGTAAGAAAGTGTCGAGCTCGATAAAGAGATGCAACCTTAGCAGATGCTAATTTTGCAATGGATTTGATATACGGTTTAAAAGAAAGATCAGAAGTAAGAGTTAATCCTAGAAGATGAATGGTAGATGACTCATCTAGTACATTACCATTCATAAATATAGGAAGATCTAAATTATTACGATAACGATTGGATATATATATATATATATATATATATATATATATATATATATATATATATATATATATATATATATATATATATATATATATATATATATATATATTATATATATATATATATATATATATATGTTAAAAAATATATAATACATAGTAAATAAATATAAAATAAATAGTAGAAAAAAAATTAAATATATAGTAAAATATATAGTAAATATAAATATAAATATATAGTAAAAATAAGTTGGTTAAATAATAACCTTTAATACCAAATCTTTTTTTTTGCTTTAAAAAAAAATGTTTTAATCTTAATAATAATAAATTAATACGGTAGTATCGTAGTGCTCTTGTGGTAGAGCGCTTGCTTTGTAAGCAAGAGGTTCTGAGGTTGATCCTCACTGCGTCCCTGGCAATACTGCATTTATTTTGTTTCTCCGAGCAATGGTCTTGTTTGTCAAAGTTTCTGTTTTAGAGTCAAAAGAGGACCAAAATATAAAATAAAATAAAAAAGTCTCATCAACTGTAGTAATTTCATTGAGTTCGGGAAGGTAAATAACATTAGAAAAATAATTTTATACATGAAGATATCACAGCATTAAAGCAAATTAAATAAGGCATGAAGTGGTATCAGTAATAAAGTAAAAAATTGAGTGATATCAAAGGTTAAACCACGTGTAAACATTTTTTTGTTAGTATTACTAACAAGAAAATGTTTTACAAGTTTTACTTTCATATCATATCCTAGTTTTACTTTCATATCATATCCTAGTTTTACTTTCATATCTTCTTCTGGATGATTTGAAACTTTATAGAGTAATTTTTCTATAGATGTTTTAAATGATTTTGTATGAATAAGTTTAAAAACCTTTTCACTCTAAGATTAATATTAAAAAAATGGTGAAATGATAAAAAAGAAAGCCTAAAATCAAGATAAAGTTGATATACTGATAGGGCATGTACTATTAGTCGCCATATGAACTATATTAAATTATAAAAATTTTATGTGCTTACAACAATTCTCAACTGTATAATAGAGAAATAAAAAGCTATTACCTTAGTTAAGAAACATGCATAAAAATTTTTACTGATAAAAGTTTTCTTTAACTCAGAATAATGCTTACTATAAAAATTGAGAATTAAAATTAAAAAAAAGTAAATGAATCATGTATATAAAAAAAGTAAATGAATATATATGATACATATGATAAGACACCTAATGAAATCTTCGACCATTCAGATTCAATTAAAGCCAATAAACCATTTTTATTTGTTGGTTTTTGACCTTTTAATTGACGATCGACGGTTTTCCTATAAATGTTCAATTGGATTAAGATTAGGACTTTGCAATGGCCGCTCAAGAACGCAAATTTTTTTGGAGGTAAATAAATTCTTAACATAGACTACTGTATGCTTTGGATCATGGTCTTGTTAAAATATTTACCTTCATGGGATTTATCCTTAGCATTTTATCATTGATGATAAAATTTATACGCATTATACGCATGCGGACTTTATGTGACTACAGTTTTTTAATACTAATTATTAAAAAATTGAGATTAAAATGTTATAAAATAAGCTAAGTACAATTATAATTATGCTGATAAAAGATTTGGTAACATAATGCATGAAAAAGTGTTATTTTACCAGTAAGATATACATAAGTAGCTTTTTCTTAGTGTAGATTTGTTTACATCTGATTAGTTTTTGTAATTGGAAAATATTTTGAAATTTTATATAGAAATTCTATCATGCTCATATTGAATAACTTTAAAAGCTAAAGATCCAAAATCAACTGTTGGAATTGTTATTAAACGTTATAAGGAGAATGAAACAATAAACAGAAAGCAAGGAAGTGGTGGAAAATAAAGACTTGATGGCAAATTAGTAGTTGATGCAACTCATTGAATCCAGTTCAGTCACAACAAGATTTAGCTACAAATTTTAAATACAGTATATTTTTTATTTAAAGAGTTTTGATAAAAAATATTCAGAAAACTTATCCAAAAAAAAAAACATACCAAAATAGTCACTTGATAAAAAAATGAAGGCATTTGGAAAAACTGAAAATTTTATCAAAAAAATATTTGCGCATTTTAGGAAATGAAACTTGCTCTAAAAAGATCACTTGATGCTTCCAGGTAACCAATACTATTATTAGCCAAAACATTATAAAGCGTCTGACAGATTTAAATACATTAGAGTTAAAAAATTACCTTGCAAATTTCTTGAATGACAGCCAATTGGATTTGTGGCTTTAAAACCTATGCGTGATTGAATGGTGGGAAAAATAATTTTTTTTTATAATTAAAAAAAATAAATTACCAACTTTTTTTTTTCCGTGGAATAATAGCTAATAGGTTTTATCATGTGTTAGATAGATGTGGAAAGGTTAAGGCTATCACTCTCAACATTTCTAAAGCCTTTTATAAAGTTTGGCATACTGGTCTTCTCCATCATTTCCTGTAACTTCAGGGGTTCCTCAAGGTTCTATGCAAGGCCCTATACTTTTCTTAAATTTGCATTAACATAGATGTTAATGCAAATTTAACAAACAATGTTACCTTAGATGTGAGATAATTTCACATCTAAGGTGACATTGTTCAGTGATTATACTACCATTTATTCTTGTCTTGATAAAAACTTAACACTCTCTGATTACTTAAATGGGACATTTGAGCTTGAAAAGGATCTCACTTCTGCTAAAGCATGGGACTCTTAGTGGCTGGTGAACTTTATTCTTTTTTTTTTTTTTATTTAATTTTTTTTAGCTAATTGTTATTGCAATAATTATTGTTTTAAATGATTTATTAATTAGTGAAAAATATCATTTTTATACTTAAATTTAAAATATCTTCAAGCTTCTATTCATTTGTATATTATTATTTTAAATTATATAACTCGAATATATATAGAAAATTGTTATTGCAATGGTAATGTATCCAATGAGTCATCTATCCTTCACACGAACCATGAAGAACAAGGTTGCTGCACGGAGAAACAAGTTGTTATTTGAATTTGTCTTTCTGTTAGTTTAGGGCTTACATATGATTTTACTATTTTTCACAAATAAACTTTGGTAGTTAAAAACAACCATTTCTTTTTATAAAGCTCAAATAAGTAGTTGCCATTTTCATCAAGTTATTCACTAGTTTATGATCTACTTGTTTACTTTGTTCACTAATATATGATTTACCTAAAGTTAATTAACACCAAATGTTTGAGACAATATATTTACAATATGTTCATTAGATCTTTTGTTACTCTTTAAAATTCTTTTGCTAAACTTGGAAATAATCAACAAATTTAAACTATAATCGTTATATATATATATATATATATATATATATATATATATATATATATATATATATATATATATATATATATATATATATATATATATATATATATAAATATATATTGTAATAGCGTAATTCCGGTTCACGGTTATGTTGAATAAAGAAACGTGGAAGCGAGTTTCCATTTTGGTCGGGACATTATATTGAGAGACACGAAGCAAAAACTTTACTTGTAGTGTGGTGTTATAAATAAATTACATATTGAGTTATTACTAAGAGTTGTTAATATATTCAGTGGTGTTATTGTTACTATTAGGTTATAACAATTGGCGACAAAGATAAAAAAAATGATGCATTTATCGAATATATCTTGTTTGGATTTAGAAAATGATGATTTTGTAGAATATATTGAAAGATTTGACAATTTTTTACTGGCCAATGACATAGAAGATGCTGAAAAACAAAAAGCTGTATTTTTATCAACCATAGGAGGACCTGCTTATAAACCTTTCTGAAGTTTATGTGAAAATGACACAAAGAATAAGAGTTTTACTCAAATAGTTAAACTAACGAAGGACCATTTGAAACTGATACCAAACTCCATTGCACAGCGTTTTCAATTTTATAAAAGAGATAGAAAAGATGAGGAATCTGTAAGCGGGCATATTACTGAATTACGTAGACTATCTGAACACTTTGAGTTTGGTGAAAACTTGAATGATTATTTAAAGGACAGGTTTGTTTGTGGATTAAATAATGAAAATGTGCAACAAAAATTATTAACCATAAAAAATCTAACGTTGGAGACAACACTTGACACAGCAAGAGCATATGAGACAGCATATAAAGATACCAAAGCTATACGTACAAAAGAAAGCTTTATAGAGCAGGAT